GATTTTGACCGAAATATCCAGATTTTGACCGAAACAAAATTGCATTATGTATCGTTTTGGTTAATGTAAAAAACCAGTACGTACAGGCCATACCGGCCGGTACAAAACGGAATTGACTACCTTGGTCCCCATACCCGCGGGGAATGATAGGTCCCCGCGGGTATTTGGAGTCCCCACCAAATAAAACTTGATACTCGTTTCTTATTTGAGAAATTAACTGAAGATAGAATGAATTAAGAGCTTGAATGAGCCTCAAACCAACAATACGATTATCGTTTACTACAAATGGAAGAAAGAAGCTGCGCAGACATGTAAACAATGAAAATCGCATTTTGACAATGTTGTGAACAATCGGAGGGAAAATGAAATCGGAAATAATAAGGCCAAAAGAATGAGATCTACTTCACCTCAAAATAAATCATCAAGCACAGATACTTAGACACTCACAAATACTCACAATTCAGGTTCAGGCAAGCTGCAAGTAGCTAATTGAAGAATAGAAACAGAGCTATGGGCATTACCTTTCGAAGGTTATCGAGAATGATAGGTTGAAGGAAATTGACCGATTGAAGAACAGAAACAAAGCCAATGAGCTACAGCGCAGAGGAGAGGAGACTGGAATCTAGAGAGGAGGAATCGTAGAGCAGATTCACAAATCTCAGAAATTTTAAATAGTCCTTCTAGTTCTAGGGTTACTAGCAAATTGAGTTGGGTTTGGGCAATTAAGTTTAAGAAGATTATGGGTTGAACTGGACTATATAATTGAGTTTGGAAAAACTGAAAAATAAAAAAAGGGATTGGTCAATTAATTAAGTTGAGTAAATAAAAATTAATTGTTAATATATTTTAAAATATATATATAAATAAATTTCTTTATTTTTTATTTTATACGAACCTCCACAGTTCCCCACGGGACAATTTTTGTAAGTTTTGCCAGCAGCAGCTAGTCCTCCAAGTGCAAACCATGAACCATACGTGAAGCATACTCCCCAGTTCCCATACCTGTGCAAGGTCATCAAGTAATTGATTTACCTCTAGCACTTTCTTAAATAATCATATGCTTTAGAACATATTAGGAATACGTAGGAGAGGAATATACCATGATCCATCAGGCATTTGTATGTTTTCAAGGAAGCGTACAGCATTTGCAATGAAATTTTCAATCTCCTTCTTCCGATACCCAGGATTTAGCTTTTTAAACAAAACTAAAGCACTGATTGCGGATGAAGTGCACTCAACATATTCATGCTCAATGACAATGTCTGCGAAGAATTCTGTGGGATTGAGCATCTGAGAATGAAAGACAAAACATCAATTGATATCATGATAGTCTAGAAGAGTTTAATAATACATTTTTGAAATTTTTATGGAAAAAGCGTGAGGCACTTTCCCATGTTTTAAAGCACTTACTTCCAACCATTCTGAAGCTCCAGCTGGCTCCCAGGCAGCACCACCTCCATTTTTACTCTGTATTTAATCAAATGAAGAAGCTTATTGAGATGATACGAGAACTTAATACTCAAAAAAGCAGAATCAATACTAGGATTATTGCAAATATTTCACCTGAAGAGACAGCAAAACATTAACAGCATCATAGAATCGCTCTGGTTCTAGTTTCTCCCCAACAATTTCTTGCGACAACATTGACATTAGTACGCAACACTGTAGAACAAGGTACAACCCATTGAGATAAAATGAATAATCTAATGGTTCTCTCCTTAGTTTTTTAAATGAATGGCTAAACAACTAAAAATTTAACTCTACCTTCAAGTCTTCTGTGCTGCAGTCAGAAACTTGCCATTCATGATCTTGATCAGAGAAAGTCCAAGATCCCTTGGAAATATGGCGATACATTTTTTTGAAGTCACTTGGAGGGTTGTCCTTGACCTTCAAAATTTTAAATGGGAAGTAATAGTGAGGCTAAATGAACATTCTTTCACTTTCTCATCAATTAAGATGGAAATTAAGAATTGTTATTGATAGTAGCAATAACGTGTCAAACCTAAGCTTTCTTTACGAAATCATGTCCTCTCTTAAGTACAGGTCTAATTTCATTTATGAGATTGCTAGCAAGTAAAGCTTGAACAGAAAAACCAGTATCCCACTCTTGACTTCCAAAACTGTGCATCTTAATTTCATCTTCAGCAACCCATATGTAATCTGGGATCCTAGCAAGATGCTTTTTAAAGTAATCACCATTTGGATCTTCCACCCAACAAGCAAGCATGCATAGCACCTGGTCAATACTAGTGAAATCATAGCGATATTCATCAAAGAACATTAATATTCCTCTTTCCCATAAATTAGTTTCTAAATAGACACCTTACCTTCTCCATGCAACCAATGGTGACGTATCTGTTGGAAATTTTTATGTGGGCTGCCGCTAATTGTATTTGGTTTTCAAAAATTGGGTCGAATGAAAAAACCGGTAAAGTCCAATAAAGTAACATGATCTAAGTGGGTTTAGGTTTTATCTCAATTTTATATAGTGTGATATGAATATGTGTAGGGCCTGAAAGTAAAGGTGGGTTACTTGATGGGGGTACCCAAAAGATTATTATAATGGGTTAGGTCCCCTCTCCTATTCAGAAAACCCTCCCTTTATAAATAGTAGAGTTAGGGAGTGACATGACCCATTGGTTGTCACTACACAGAAGTTGATTAGGGAGAGGAAGACCTAAATCTCAATACTAACTATATTTGTTTTGTAGGTTTTTGTCATAAGATCCCTAATTATGATGATTCTTGAAGATTCTTGAAAATTCTTAAGTAATATATTGATTAAAGAGATCCAGGTACGCAGTGTATTTATTTTATTAGATCTTGGTATACTAAATTCTACGTATGTCAATCCTTAAAATTCCAACATGTGGTATCAGAGCAAATTATATGTAGATTTAGGATCCAAGAAGATTAACTTGTAAGTGGTTCTTGAAATAACCGTTATTGAGTTAACTTGAAATCTTTGATTTCGAAATTGATATATTTATTCATACTTAGTATGAAACTATTTGGCTATATTAGAGAGCAAGTTTTGGATTAAATCCATATAAATTTGGAGTTGTGGTATGCTATGCACATGCAAAAAGTAATCATTGTGATGAAGAATTGAGTTAAAATCATTGTTATAGTTTTAGAGAAATCTCAATTCGTGAGTAACCAAATAATATGTGTGATTATAAAAATTTTAGTAATATCAATTGAGATCAATTGAAAAAGATTTGTGGAGACTAAGGAATTGTTCATTGGTTTGGTGGTGTAAACTAGGCAGTTGTCGATTCAATCAAAATTCAGTTTTATGTTGTGAAACATATTTGATGGTTACTGAGATGATTAATGAGAAAACTGTTATTTGGTCCCTTAGTAATTATGTTTAGTGCAAATCTATCCCCAATGGTCTAATAAGCTTACAAATTAATGTTTAGATATTAAATTTAAGATTAATTAATAGTTAATCCTTTTCGCTTTCTCAAGTTTAAAATAATCTCCATGAATAATTATGTGATATGGAGGTGAATTTAGTTGAATTCTTTTGAATTTATGAGTTTATGTTATGGTATTCTTTTGTTATTTAATGCCTTATTTGAATTAATCAATTTTAAAAGGAGAAAAAAAATGGTTTAGGATTTGGAATTCTAATGGGAAGTGAAAAAAAGGAGTTGATTAGGATTGAATATCCCAATCTATTAAGGAGTTCAACTAAGTTAAAAGGAAATGTAAATAGAAGTTGAGGGACCAGTGTTGCTATTTTATCATTCTTAGAAATTGCATAATGGTCCAAAAGTCCAACATGGACTTGTTTCTTCTATAATTGGTGAAGGTGTCAACACATAACCAGTTAGAAGTTATTGTGCAGATTTGACACAATGTAAGGGTGTCGACATTTAGGTAATTTACAGCAATTAAGCATTAGGTGGTTTTAAATCTTTTGATATTGTGTATTGAAATTTATACACAATGTATCAGATTCTATGTGAAGAATATCTACTAATATAATCTTTTTTTTTAGATTATATGTGCATAAAAAATATTTATTATGTGGTTTGATTTTATAAAATCAAGATAATTGTTTACATAATAAATATATATTAATTTATTCCATTTAAATTAAAATAAATATTAAGTGTAGCACATAAAATATGTGTCAATATTTGGAGGTTAAAGATATATGGTTAGTTACAAATGAATTATTGATAAGATATTTTTTTGCATGTTTTTGGTTTAAAATAATTTTGTGAATATTATTATGCATATGATATATGCTTCTTGGAGATTAAATTTCAGGATTTTGTTAAAGCAATTAGTTACAATTGGAGGTACGTGACTTTATATACCCATTATTTAAATAATGTAATATCTTTGGATTAAAGTTCTTGAAATTGGTTGTACTATTCATTTGCAAAGTTTTTAAGTTTAACTATTAATAAAGAAATTTATAGTCATAGATAAATGAATAGATAATTGTGAAACTTTAGTTCTCGTTAAAGATTACTTACCTTCATATGTGGTTTAGCATATGGGTTTCCTAGCACTGTGTTTTTTGATAAGGAAATAAAGTGTCCATATTTGGATGTAAAGAATATATTTATAGTTGCTAATAAACTATCTATGCAAATTAATTATACATTTGGAGAAAGTATAATTGTTATTTTCTACTAACTTTATGGAAGTTAAGAAAATTTTTTGAAAATATATATTAAAGGTGCAGCAAGGAATGTTGAGAATTATAGTTTTAAAAATTCGTCAAGTTGTATCAAGATAAACTACAAAGGTACAACCATATAAGGTAACTGAGTATGATTTTCTTCATATTGATATTTTATTTAAGATAAAGTTATTTGTTTTCATATGTGGGTTCTAACATATGAATTCTATAAAGAGGTTTTGTGGAATTAAAGTTTGAGTATAACTCATGACATATAATTTAAAGCTAAATCATTGGTTTTATAATAGATTTTGTTGGTAATTAATTACCTTTAAGGAATAATTATATGTGTCTATTATGCATATTGGTGATAGCCTAATTGTGGCTTTGCATGAAGTTTTTATATCTCAAAGAAAATATATTTGATAAAGTTTTAAGAATTTTTAGAATTTGTGTATCTTGATTTATTCAAGATACCAATGGGATTTCATATAATTTTCTTTGAGTATTAAAGCAAAAGAGCTAATAAGTATTGAAAGTTTCCCAAAAGTTTTTTAAGATTCTCTCAATTTATGTACTAAAGAATTACCATCATTAAAAAGTATAAAAGATATGATTTAGAGGGATTATAGAACTATATATATACATGATAGTCCTAATAATGTTTTATGACTAATGTGAATATCAAGAATTTATTTATTAGGACTAATGATTTCTATCACTTAAGATTTTTTGGGATATTAAGAAATTTTGTTCCAATGGGAGATTAGTTAATTTTCCAATAAGGATTCTGGAATGTTACATTATTTATGGGTAATTGTTCCAGTGGGAGCTTGTGAGTTGATGTAGATGGTACTACCAAAGTAGACAATTTATTAAGATTCACATGTTTTCCAATAAGGATTCTGGAATGTTTTATTATTTATAGGTAAATATTCCAGTGAGAGTATGTGAATTGAAGTGGATGATATTGTCAAACCGGGTCATCTATTAAATTCGTATATTTTTCAATAAAGATTCTAAAATGTCTGCCTTTTGAAATTAATGTGTATGATCGCCAGCCTAAAGGGGGTGATTGTGCATATTGATTGAAAGAAGTGTGAGTAGTTAATAAAGGTTTTTTAATCTGGTTTTATAGAAAATTTTCTACCCAAAGGGGATTATTTTCTATGAGACTATTCTTATTAATTCACTTGTAATAAAGTTTTTGAAGTTTAATAAAGTTTCATACCCATTGGTCATATTAAATTATTATGTCATTAAAACTAGTTGATTTATTGGGAAGATCACATATGAACTATTAAAGTTAAGACATAAAGTTGCTACTTTCATATTAGTACATGCAAGATTTTGCCCAAATGTGATTGTTGTATGTATTGACTTGAAGTAGTGGGATCAATTAGTAAGGATGATAAGTATTGATTTAATTCACTAAAGGTTAATTTTCCTACTAATTGACTTGTTAAGGTTTAATTTTATGGACTTATTTAATCAACATAAAGTGCAAATAAAGTATAGTTATGTCTTGAACTCTTGAACTATTGCGGCTCAAAGTGAATCATGCTATGGATTAAAGTATATTATGAGGTACTTTTATGTAAACAAAGTTTTATTATTAAAATTATATTACAAATGTTCGATTGGTGTTAATTTATGTATCTCTTAAGTGATTGGTATTTTGATTGCATAAGTTTTGATTAAATTTGGAGATACATGTTTCTTAGCATGATGGATTTGAATTGTACAAAATTACTATTTTGATGTTCAACTAGAAAAATGGTAAAAGGAAGGCATGAGTAATTATGATAAGAGTAATGCAAAATTTAAGATGTTGTAAAATGCCTATTGTTATTTAAGGAAATAACTTTCTTTGATTATAAGATATTTAAAAGGGTTATCATAGAATAATGTGTCTAGAAAATTAGTGGGAGTTAAACAGTTTATTACTCTCAATCATTCAATGTATAATGATAAGATTATGGATATGAGAAAGTTACTTGGTTGTAATGGAGAAACCTCTAGACATGTGTTATGAATTATATGGAAAATAATTTTCATAAAAAATGCAATTATCTTTATTAAAGTTGATAAAGTCTTGTCACTCTTGTATTTTTGTGTTTGATTAAAGTTTAAAGATCATGTTATATTTTGAGTAGTAGATAATGGAGAATTGTTTTCATTACAATATTTTATATTTGATGGTGTTAGTTATCTATATAGATAACTTGTTGAAAGAATTTGGTGGAAAAGATATATCCAAGGTAATTGTTGATCTACCTTATAAAGTAAGAGTGACATGAAAGCGAAACTATGAATAATGATTATAGTCATGCATTATTGTAACTATGTTAATTAATTTACTGATCAAGGGATTATAATTTTGTTAGTTATCTATGAGAATTATTTTAAATATTCTTGATCAGTGGGAGAAGTTGATTTCTCTGTTAATAATAAGTTTTATTTTACTCATTGTCTCACTTATTATTTTATAATAATGCACGTGCATTGTATTAACAATTTTTATGAGCTCATACAGAAATTGATCTTGAGATCTTGAGGTATAAAGTATAAAGATTTCTTTGGAAGTGTATATAAACTCCTTTTGAACTGTAAAAACTTTTTTTTTGGAAAAGTGAAGGAGATTATCTCTTGGGTTTCTATGAAATCATAATAAAGTTTAAAAGCTTCTTTGAGGAAGTGTAAAAGGGATTATATCCTGATAAAAGAGTTTCATTGAAACCATAAAGAGGACCGTTGTGGTTTTGACTTATTATATATTGTATGGATCACATTGTATCGAACCACACGACACTTTATCACACCTATTGGAATTAATGTTGGTGGAGATATTTGATACTTGTGGTTGTGAAGGGTCTTGTGTTATAAGAGACATAATGACCACACAGTTCGGTATTGGTATTTTCATTGAACGAAATTCTGTATTGAGATTTTGATTTATATTTGTGGCCACTAAAGTTGTGTTTGACCCAAGAGTCATTTTTTTAAAATACATTTTTAAAATTTTAAAACTAATTAGCATTGCCCAAGTGAGAGAATGTTGAAAATTTTTATGTGAGCTGTTGCTAATTGTATTTGGTTTTCAAAAATTGGGTCAAATAAAAAAACCTATAAAGTCCAATAAAGTAATGTGATCTAAGTGACCTTAGGTTTTATCTCAGTTTTATATGATGTGATATAAATAGGTGTAGGACCTGAAAATGAAAATAAAAGTGAACTACTTGATGGGGGTGCCCAAAAGATTATAATAATGGGTTAGGGGGGGAATTTCCTGACGGTTACACTGTATATATTTTATCCTATGTATATAGGACTAATTGCACTAGCAGGCCTTGGTGGCTGCTAATTTACATCAAACATCTTAATCTATATTAAAGTTTATGTTTTTATTGAAATAGTTGTAATATTTTTTTAATTTTTTTAATATAAAAAAATATGTAGAATTTATTTATATAAAAGTTTTATATATTATATGTATGTAAATTTTTAATTATTTATTTTTTCATTTTTAATAGTAAAGATTTATCTAAATTATTAAAAATAATTATTTTTTATTTAAAAAATTATGACAAATTTTAATTATTAAAAATAAATATATAAATAATTAAAATTTTGTGTAAATATAATATATAAAATTTACTTATAAAACATTAAAAAAACATTAAAACTTTTTTTTCTAATAACCAAATAAAAAAGTTAATTATAAAAAATACTTTTATATTAGTATTTTATTTTAAGATTTACCACAAAACTGTTTTTGGAAGAACACAAATTTTACAGACTCTAGTAAACGTTTTGGGAATCCAAGTGTTGATTTTCCACCACACTAAAATTCTCCTTAACAAATAAATCAATGTTCCTTTCAAGTGGCATTGATAGGAATAATAAATGAAATACATAATAAACAAAAATGATAAAGCAAGAACCTCTCCCATCAAAAACAAGAGAAGGCAAGAAACTCTTTGAAAAAAAAATTTTCACATCTTTGCCTCTCGGGAGTGCAGATTAAGGATATAAATATTATATTTCTAATTATTAATTAATATTAAAAATATAAAAATTATTATTAATTTTATTATTAATGTTATATAAATTATTTTAATTAAATAATTAATTAAATAAATATTAATTTTTTATCATTAATTAATATAAAAATATAATAATTTTATACTTAAACCTGTGATTGAGGGTATATTTTTTTTTGAATATAGGGAAATGTGATTGAGGGTATATGACAGAAAAACTTAATAAAATTCTAATTATAATAGGTAAAATATTGTGCCGAACCATAAGAAATGAAGACGGCGGCATGACGGTTTTATTATTCAAGGAAGGACGGTCGAACTATCTCACTAACTGGCATTAATTTCCACTTGTCAACTCTGGAAACAGACCATAAAAGGTAAAGCAGCCACACAACCGAGCAATATACAATGACAAAATTATATCAAAATGCTCTGAAACCATCAGATCCACTGTCTCTTTTTTGTTTCTGGTAAATTCCCACTTTCTTCTCCGCTTGTGTACATGTTCCATTTCCGAAAAACCTCCGAAACCCCTCTACTCTGCCAATAATTACACACACCGAAAAGTGAAGTGACTTGAATTCGACAGCTTTACCATATATATTACCCTAAACTCTAAATTTAGTCTAAATTTGAGTTTATCAATTTTCCTATGGAAAACCGATTTATTATGGGAAAAAAAAAAAAAAAGGAAGAAGAAGAGAAAGAAAGAAACTGTAGTTAGTCTTATGAAAACACCGTGAGCAGTTAAGATGATATTATTGGATATAGCATCATCATCTCGACAGTTGGATTGAACTAATTAAACACTCTAATTTTAAATTTCTTGAAGAATTGTTAGAAAACAAAAAAGAAGAATAATTTGAAGAAAAGTTTATTGCTTTCTTAAATTATACTGACCTATATATAGGTGTTTACAAATAAAATATTCTAAAGTATAAAATATACTAAGAAAATATTCTAAAATATAAAATATTTACAATAATTTTAAATATAATTGTGTTCACATCTTAACATCCCCCCTCAAACTCAAGGTAATTGTGATGAAACCAACTTGAGCTTGGAATGAAGAGTAAGAAAGCGTAAAATGAGCCTAGGTAACGAGATCTACTGGTTGATCAACGGAGCCAATGAAAACCAAATGAACAGTTCCTTGTGCAACATGATGGCGAATAAAGTGACAATCAACCTCAATGTGTTTAATGCGTTCATGAAAGACATCATTATGAGCAATCTGCATAGCATTTTGATTATCACAATATAAATCAGTAGAACAAGGTTGAGGAATGCCCATATCTTTAAGAAGCCACCGCAATGAAAGAAGTTCTGATGTGGTATCCCCGAGAACTCTATACTCAGCTTCAGTACTAGAGCAAGATGATATAGTTTGTTTCTTACTCCACCAAGGGATAAGAGAATTACCAAGGAAAAGACAGTAACCAGTGGTAGATCTATGATCAGAAGGATCACCCACCCAATCAGCATCAAAGTAAGCGCGAAGCACAGGGGAGGAGTTGACAGAAAAATAGAGTCCATGAAATAATGTTCCCTTAACATAGCGAATAATGCGAAATATTACTGCATAATGAGTGGAGCGAGGAGCAGCCATAAACTAACCAACAATGTGAACTACATATGCTATATTAGGGGGTGTCGTAGTAAGATAAACCAAACTACCAACCAATTGCCGATAGCAAAGAAGATCAGAAAGTGAAGAGTCATCCATAGGTGTAAGCTTAACATTAGGTTCAAGAGGTGTAGAAACACTCTTACCATCATTGAGTTCAGCTTTAGAAACAAGATCGGAGACATACTTTACTTCAGAAAGCAGGTAGCCATCATCTAAAGAGGCCACTTCAAGCCCCAAAAAATAGCTCAGAACACCAAGATCTTTCATCTCAAATTTCTGATTGAGAGATTGTTTTAACTCCTCAACACCTGCAACATCATCTTCAGTAATAATCATGTCATTAACATAAAGAAGTAAAAGAACCATACCCTGAGCAATCTTATGAATGAACAAACCTATATCATGTGGACTGGAAGTAAAACCAAACTCACTCATAGTAGCACTAATCTTTGCATACCAGGCTCGAGGGGATTGCTTCAACCCATATAATGCACGGCACAATCGGCATACCTTGTTTGGAGGATGGTTGAGCCCAAGATGTGGTTTCATATAAACTTCCTCTTCTAGGTCACCATTAAGAAAAGCATTTTTCACATCCATCTGAAGCAATTTCCATCTCCGCATAGCAGCGATAGCAAACAAACTGCGCACAGATGTAAGATGAGCAACTGGAGCAAATGTCTCCTCATAGTCGATTCCATACTCCTGTGTAAAACCCTTGGTAACCAAACATGCCTTATAATGCTCCACAGAACCATCAGATCGTGTTTTGATCTTGTACACCCATTTACAACCTATTAGAGATTTTCAGCAGGGGGATCAACTAAATCCCATGTACGAGTGTTCTCAAGAGCTTATAATTCATCTTGCATAGCTTGTTGCCAAAGAAGGTTAGAAGAGGCCTCTTGATAGGATTGAGGCTCATGTAATGAAGTAATAGCAGGAAAACAATGATAATCACGAAGGTAGTTGGGAGGGTTTCTTACCCGAATAGGATGACTCGAGGATGGGACAACAAGCTCATTTGTAGAGTCAACGGTGATATAGACAAAGAAGTAGAAGAAGGCTCAAAATTATCTAATGCATTACCAGCATGCAAATCATCTTCTACAAAACTAGTTAGAGCATGTGGTGAGGCATTGTAGAGCTCATCAGATGTACCTAGATTAGAATCACTAGGAAATAGCTCAATAGAAGGATTAGTAAAAAATGGAGGTTGATGAGAGGATGGCACTTTGAAGTTTGACAATGTTGAGAACATAGTGTATTCCAAAAAGACAACATGATGTGAAACTCGAAGTTTTTGTGACATAGGATCCCAACAACAGTATCCCTTTTGTGTAATCCCATAACCCAAAAAATAGCATAATCGAGCTCTACGTTATAACTTGTTATGTTCATGAGGTGGAAGAAAAACAAAACATGCACAACCAAAAACCTTAAGAAGATTATAAGCAAGAAGAATACCATGTAGACACTCGTATGGAGACTAGTTATTAAGGACTGATGATGGAATGCGATTAACAAGATAAACAACTGTAAGAGCAGCTTCACCCCAAAATCGCTCTGGACAAGAAGATGAAATGAGAAGAGCACAAACAAAATCAAGGATGTGTCTGTGTTTGCATTCGGTCCGCCCATTTTGTTTAGAAGTACAAGGACAAGATTGTTGTGGCAGTGTACCATGTTCTTTCAAAAATGATTGAAGTTTAGAACCAAGATATTCAGTAGCATTGTCAATTCTCAAAACTTTGATAATTTTAGAGAACTGAGTTTTGACCATGGTAGAAAAATCAATATAAATTTGTGATAATTCAAAGCAACTTTTCATAAGGTATATCCAGGTAAAATGAGTATGATCATCAATAAATAGCACAAAGTACCTGGAACCCCACATGGTGGGTGTAGGAGATGGAACTCAAACATTAAAATGCACGAGATCAAAAGGAGCAGTAGAATGAGAATGACTACTTGAAAAAGATAAAGCTGGTTGCTTTGCAGATTGACATGACACACAATGCACAGATTCATTCGAAACTGATCCTAATAAACCACAAGAGATAAGTGGATGAAATTTACCGACTGAGGTATGTCCAAGTCATGACTGCCACAAATGGAAAGGAGAAATGTTAGTAGTAGCACAGGTTTGGAAGATTTATTGATATGGAATTTTCAAAGACTCTAATTCAACAACACAAAGCAAGGTTTGGATGAATCGATCATTTGGAAATGATGGTGTATCCATTTTATTATCAAGAATATGCAGATAGTTGAGCTCAAATAAACGCCCCACCTTGCAACCAATTCCAAGAAGTTGTCCTGTCCATGGGTCCTGCACACGACAACCATGAGCAGAAAATGTTACTTCAAGACCAAGATCACATAACTGACTGACAGATAGAAGATTATAACTAAGTTTTGGAACTAAAGGGCATTTGGTAACGTCAATGACTTTGTAGAAACATTTTCAATGTGACTAACATTCATAAGGGAACCATCAACAGAATAAATATCAAGAAAGGAATTATTAGGTGACATTGAAGAGAAATGAGCAGTAATTGAAGACATATGGTTACAACAACCAGAATCGAAATACCAAGGTTTGGTACTTAGAGCAGTAAATAAGGCAGCAGGAGCATTAAAAAGATTTAAAATCACATGTTTTAGGGATTCAAGGTTGACATTAGGTTGTTCTATCACTTCTTTGGCAACCATATCAGTAGCAGGATGAGTTACAATCCTTTCAAAACTCACCATAGAATCAATAAACTCACAATACTGAAAAACTCTAAAAATATGAAGAAATAGATGTCAAGATCGAAATAACAAACCAAAAAAATATCTCAGAAAGGGCTTGAGAATCAAGGATAAACAATCCAATCTATAGGAGAAGAGATCCCAATGACAAAGTTTCAGATCTGGAATGGAATTGAAAATCCAACTCCAAAAAAACCCAACAGCAGTGATAAGAGAAAAAAACCAGGAGTTTGTAACTCTGATACCATGTTAGAAAACAGAAAAGAAGAATAATTTGAAGAAAGGTTTATTGCTTTCTGAAATCATACTGTATGTACAATGACCTATATATAGGTGTTTATAAAGAGATTATTTTAAGGTATAAAGTATACAAAAAGAATATTCTAAAATATAAAATATTTACAATAATTCTAAATATAATTGTGTTCACATCTCCAATCTTCAGCTTCCAGATTTTTGGTTCAAAATTCAATCAGAAGCCACTCACCTAGGCCTTCTCTCTTCACTCTGTTGCATAAAAAATGCAGAAATTCTTAAGCACCTGAAAATTTTTATGAAGAAATTAATCCGAAAATAGCTATGTATGATGGGATGATGACCGGAAATTAGTCACCTGGGAATTGCAGAGGCCTCTGTAAGCTTTGTTCAGGGACGGTTTGGCAGGGAAATTAAAGGAAGAAGGAACGAAATAAGGTTGAAGAAGAAACTTAAGCATGGGAATATGGAAGAA